ATGAAATAATAGAATATTTCATTAGCTTGAATGTACAGCATTTGGTTAAGCTTCAGAAATAACATTTGTGGCTTGGCACAAAATGGTCATAGGTAGGGGCTGGAGAGCTGCTCAGTGGGTAAGAGCATTTGCTCCTCTTATAGAGGACCTAGGTTCTGTTCCTAGCACCTACATGGTGGTTCACAACCACCTGTATCTCTAGCTCCTAGGGATTTGACTTTTCCTTCTGGCCTCAGAGGGTACCAGGCAGACATGTGGTGTGCAAACACATACAAAGGCAAAACACGAATGTAAGTAAAACAGGACAAAACAAAATGGAGAATCAACTGGAAGTGAGTTTGAGATGATCACTTGGACCGCTCCTTGGTCTGGATTAGCGCTGTTCCTCTGAAATGTCTCCTTGTTCTGTCAACTCACACAGACCGTAAATTTGACACTATAATGGAGGGGTTCCAACCAATGTGTTTGTACCCAGGACAGGCTCACCAGGGTACTGAGGTCACGAGGTTCCCTGGCACACACAGGACAACCGCTGGCTGACACAGGATTCAGAGCCTGCAGTCTGGTCTGTAGCCGCACTTACTTTCTCCGCTTGGACCTTGAGAGCATGTGCTGTGAGCATGTGCTTTACACTTACTTCACCTTCGTCATTCTGCTTCCATCTTCAGGGCATGTGCTCTGTGCACACCCTGTACTTGACAGTTTATGTGTTCACAGCAGCACCGGTACTCCTCTCGTTTTATACATGGGAAGAAACAAAGCTCAAAGGAACTAAGAAACTCGGTTAGTATTGCAATTCAATAGCATCCCTGAGCCACGCTTACTTTCCCTAGAGATGCAGAATCTGGAGCTAAAATCTTTTGGGGGGTAATTTTTTTTATTCTTTGAACATTCCATACATTTATACCATGTATGTTGTACATGTCTATCCGACACTACTTCCCCAGTGCCTTCACCCCTCCCCCTCTCAGCTTACTGTCCTTTTATATGTTTGGTTATTAATAGCCTCCAGAGCCCAATTAGTGCTTCCCATATGCACATGGGTGTCCTGCCTTTCACTGAAACATGAGCAACCTGCCAGTGGCCACATCCCCAAAGGAAGGTGGCTCTTTCTTCTTCAGCAGGCATAAATTGCCAGGAGCTCTTCCAGTAGAGTAAGGCCTCTACCATCCATGCTAGAACTTTAACTGGTTTGATCTTAGGCAGGTCTTGTGTGGTTAGTCATAGCTGCTGTGAGGTAATGTGTGGAAATATCATGTCTAGAAGTCAGCATTTCACAGCTCTCTGTACCATCTGCCTGTTCTTAAATTCTTTAGGCTTCCTCTAGCTTGAAGTTCCCTGAGCCTTGGCTGGTGAAGGCTCCACTGAGTTATTTATACTCAGCACATTGACCAGTTATGAGCCTCTGCATTAACTGCCATCCACTGCAAAAGGGACTTTAATGAACACAGTTAAGAGCAGAGCAAATCTACAGGTAGAACTACTGTTATTTGGCTGAGTGGAACCAAAACTATCTAATGAATAGAACTTCAGCAGTCCCTGGCACTGGGAGAAGAGAGGAGGCTTTAGAACTCCCTTTCTTGGCACATGGCTTTAATCCCAGCACTCGGGAGGCAGATGCAGGAGGATCTCTGTGAGTTCGAGGCTAGCCTGGTCTACAGAGTGAGTGCCAGGATAGCCTCCAAAACAACAAAACAATACAGAGAAACCCTGTCTCAAAACAAACAACAACAACAAAAAAACAAACAAAAACTCCCTTTCTTGGCAAACTTTGGGTTGGAAATTTATGTTAGTTAGGCAGGGAATGGGCAGAGAGTATTTAAGCATCTTAAAAACCAGACACTTCCGTAAGGTTTTGCCCTTCTTTGGGGTTTTATGATACTGTGTTGTATTGTGTTTTGTTTTATTTTGTTTTGCTTTCATCTCTCTGTATCATCATGTTTCCCCTGGGAGTACTCAGAAGTATGTGCAAATCTCACTCTCATATTTGAATCTGGCCCTGGGGCTTCGATGGCCTTGGTAAAATACTCACTTCCTAAGATATTTGCAGGATGCTCTGGGGAAAATGTTGGGTCATCTGAGAAGTCAGTAGCTAGAGCAGTAAGTGACAAAGCTATTGAGTACAGAGGAAGTCGGAGGGTGAGTCTTCCCACGGTGAAAGGGTGGATCTGCCCCCAGCAGAGTTCCCCTCGGACATTCTCTGTAGCAAAAGCATCTATCTGTCTTGACGCACCTTTTCAAAGAATTTATCAGATGGCCAAAGGGTTGTCTCAACCTTAATTATCTCCACTGAAACTTACCTACTGGTCCAGACATCTTATTGTCAATTTTGGAGTCCGTGGTTGGAGATGCCTTCCTTCCACTGACTCCCAGGTGGTATTTATCAGGCTGTCCTAGGGTGTGGCTCTGGCATGGTGCCCTGTTGTCTTCTGCAGCCATCTTCTGCTTTGAACTTTACATTGTAGGGAAGGACCTGGTTGTCTCAAGGTCAGTGTGTGTGTTTGTTTTGATCTTCCCCACTGTCCCAACCCCTTTCTTCAGCCACTCTTCTATGTACCTCCCAAATGTGTGCCGTTTCTCTTGGACAATATCATGCCCATGGGTAAGGTGTCTCTGCATGCCTTCTTGTCTGATTTGGCCTCTTCATCTCATTCATCTCATCTTGGATTCCATGCATTAATCCTGGGCAGGTACATGTTTCCCTGAGCATGTGGGAGGGTGCAGAAGAAGTTGAAGTGACTTCAAAGTGAGTGGCACTTCCCATGGTTTCACAAAGTCCAACATGTAGTCAAGACTGGGGAAACATTCTGTACAGTGTTCTGATTGGGTGTGGTCGTGCTTGCAAATTTGTAGACTAAAGGGGTGTCTGTTCACAATGGCATGTGCTACTTTCTGTATGCCTAGTTCAAAGTGATGACTCCGATGATCCTCTGATATGCTGAAGTAGGCTTTCAACTCTTTTGACGCATTAGCCTTGCCTGTATCTTGGCAGAATTACAGAGTAGGGCCATGTCTGTGCTATATCCAGTGTCTGGATAAACACTGGAAAAGAAAGATATGTGCACAGACACACCTGTGCACGCTCACAACATTTAACTTGTCCTTATTTTTAGTGATTGAGTAGTAAATCTCCTTCAAATGTGAGTGGATTGGGTCTGAATGCAGTCCCATTAGAGTGAACAGCTGAATTTTCTGTCTAGGAGTCATACCTGTTCCTTTCAGAGGGTTGAACAGTCAGTTTCCAAGTGGAACATTCAGCCATTCTCTGGGAGAGCAACTTTTGGCAGACAGGAAATGTAGGTAAGGTGGGAACTACTGAGTCTGAGTGGAAGAGTTTCAGTGAGGGAAAGAAGCCTTTCCTGTGTGAAAACATAAAGGCTCCTTGAATACATTAAAAGGTCTCACAGGCTGCTGGCAAGATCAGTGGGTTAGTAAACTTTCTCCATCATGGCCTTTACAGGAAAAATACAGCCTTTGAGGATATATTTTGTACAGGTTAAACTTTATTTGGGGATTTCAAATTAGATTGACTTCGATAACTGCCCCAGCTCCTGACACCCTCTCACTTTTCTATCTTCTTATTCTCCTTTCTTCTTCTTTACTTTGCTTCCTTGACAAAGATGAAAAGATTACACTCACATGGAAGAAATTTAAGGACTCTTCAGGCTGCATACGAATGTCTTTATTTTCTTACTGCAATTACCTTGTTAAATAGATTGTTTCTTTAAAAAAGACAGAGAGAAAAAGACATTAAACAAACCCTGCAGAGACATTCTGCATCAGAAGTTTGCATGTGTTTCCCCGTGTTCTCTGATGCTTGCCAACTATCAAGGGTGGGGTTGTGATATAAAACGCGGGGTTCCTTATTTAATGTTTTGCACTCCAGCCCCCACAGTGCGTAGTTGCTTCTCTGGTGACCTTCTCTTTGCATTTATAACTGCTGCTTTCTTTCTGTGGTCCAACAATAAGCGCACATGGCTACAAAGAAATTAAAGGAAGCTGTTGTTGGAGAGTTGATACAGTTAAACCATCCTTAACATGGGGACAGACCTCTTAAATAATTAAAACTGTTTGCTCTGAGAGTCAGATTTGCATTTCTTTACCAAGTTTATTTAGCACACTTTGTTACACTCAATTAAACAAAAGTGTTGTGTTTCATTTTCTTTGCTTCAGGTTGATCACTTTGCCTTTTGTTTCTTATGGCCCTCATGTAATTTCACAGTGCTTAGATCTCTGAAACTGTACATGTATTAATGCATACACAGATACATTAGAAGACATACTATTTGTACCAAAGAGAATCCTTGCCCAATGTATCTGAGCATCCCTTGTAACCTAAGGAGTAACCTGGGGTACAGGTAATCCCTGGTGGTGAAGATGAACCTGACAAAGTTCTTATAGTATGCATTTTGTTAAAGCTTGGTAGGCGGCATCCTTTCGCCTTCCCACAACTTGATTAGTAAACCTCCCAGCAAAAATTGGAAGACTCAGGTGTTGAATGAGTGTGGAAAGGAAACTGAACGTAAAGTGCTGTCTCCACTCTCCGTTGTCAGAGCATGTGCGGACTGCTCTCTGTAAATTAGTTCATTGCTTAAGCCATGCATGATTAAGAAGGAATAAATGAGATATACACTTCCTAATGAATGGTGGGATCAGTTGAAACATGGTGAGAGGCAAAAGGCATAATTTTGCTTCATCAGTTAAGTCTCAAAATCCCCAAACTTCAGTATTAATCACTACCAGTCACTTAGGCCTTTCTGACTCCTTCCTTCTTCCTCCAAGGTAAGTAACACAGTTTGAGTTTTCCTGGTGGGACAGACTGTGCATGAGGGATGCTGTCTTCCTCACATCCCCAGGTGTGCCTTTCCACCTTGGGTTCTTCTGTCCTTACGTTGGATTGTTTGGGTGTGTGGACAATGACAGTCGATATGCATGTGTGATGTGTATCATGAGGGTTCTAACATGTTTAACTGTTACGGGATCTGTTATGTCTACTTTAGGGTCGACCCCATCCCATATGACACTCCAAAACCAGCGGGCCACACGCGGTTTGTCTGCATCTCAGACACACACTCCAGAACAGATGGTATCCAGATGCCTTATGGGGACATCCTTCTCCACACAGGCGATTTCACCGAGCTGGGACTGCCCTCAGAGGTTAAGAAGTTTAATGACTGGTTAGGTAAGGAATGATTGCGTTCTGGCGGCCCCAATTAACCTTTCCCGGTCTGAGTGTCACTCACTGAGTCCTAATTGAATTAGAGCACTTGGAAGCCAGCTCAGCCGTTTCTTGTATGATATGCTGTGGTGTCTAGCTTTAATCCAATTTTGTTAATTAAAGATGAATTTTTAGATATTTAATTTTACTGTGCATCCTGTCAGTGCCTGGCCTCAGCAGCTCTGGGGCAAGGAGATGGGGAGCTTTGAAACCAATCTCATCTCCCTCATCCTGCCTTAATGAGGACATTCATTGGCACACATAAGGCCTAGAATCATATTTTTAATTCATTGGCTCTAGTCTTTCCAAGGTGTTACGATCAAAGATGTACAATGGCCTAGCAGTAAGAGAGTACATACATCCGAGGAACAGAGAGGATATGAAAGTCCCCCCAGGAAGCCCAGTCCCTCCTTAGCTCTCTACTGCCTAGAAGCAGCTTTCTCCAGTGTCCTGCATGCTGGCCAGGACTCCTGTCCTGACACAAAGCTCTGGAAAACACAACACTACACTCTCCTGAGCACAGGGGATGGACCCATAGATCGGTTATTCAAGGAAACACTGGGTCCTGGGAGCGCAGCTGCCAGACATTAGCCTTGCAAGGCCATCCTGGAGGTGTTCAGACCTGTAAGAGAAGAGAGCACTGGGACTGGGGTGCAGCTCAGTGGTAGAGTACTTGTCTACCGCATGTCCATCTTCAAGTTGTTGAGGCCAATCCCAGCGCCAGAAAGGAAATGAAAGAAAAACAAAGCAGGGCAAATCTGAAGATGCTAAAGAATTATATAGTTACAAGCAAAAAAAATCATTCCAGAAGGATGATGTTATGAATACTTTGTGAGCCAATGGAAATGACTCAGGGGATTTTATTATTATCAAACTAGAGCAAGGTATGGGAAAGTTTTAAGTTGTTGATGAGAGATGATACAAGATGTGTGTTAACTGACAAATAATGCTCAGTAAAATGGTTAAAATATATTAAGAATAAATAATACACTTAACTATGAATGATTTTGCTTTTTCTTGTGTTCATGCATGCCTAGCAACTTGTCCATAATTGTCATAGGAGTACAAATCTCCATCATTCTTGGCTACTTTTGATATGACTAAACGTTTTTAGTGTAATTTCCATATTTATTCCTTTTAGGGACAACATAACATATTGGTTATACTTTTATTTGGTACGACATATATTTACAAACAAACGTTTAAATAGATAGCAGTATTGCCTTTGGCAGCAAGAACTGAAATATACATTTTCTGACATATATGTCTTTTTGTTTCCACTGACTTATTTCTAAGGGTAAAAGACTACTTATGAGATAAAGTTTCAAGTCAGTGCTCTACAGGTTTGTGTTTCTGCTGCTGACTGGCATCATGCTCTTCAGTGGTAGCTGGCTTCGTTAGCGATGAACAGTGCACCACTCTATCATGGTCTTGGTATTGGATTTGGGAGCCTTTAAATTTTCTGCCCTTTCAGTAGGTGCTCAGCCTTATTTAAAGCAGACAGATATTTTGGAAGTAATTTAGCATAGTTATCTCATTTTTATAGATGACAGAGAGACAGAGATGCAAAGACGTTAAGAAGATTTTTTAGTCTCATTGTGGCAGAGTTGGGTGTGATCCAATTTTTTTCACTTTTTTTTTTTGCCTCAGTAAACTTTTCTTTCAAGTATTATCTCTTTGTTTTAGCTACTCTTTTTTAAAGCTGTGGTGTGTGTGTGCCCGCGTGCGTGCGTGTGCATGCAGTGTCCTCTGTCCATGGCCAGGAGTGTCAAATTCACTGGAGAGAGAATTTTGTGAACCGTCCAGCTTGGGTGTTAAGAACACAGGTCCTTTCATTCAGGGTAGGGTCCAGGCACTTCCCTAAGAGTCCAGGCAGAGAGAGCAACCCTCTTTGTGTTATGGACACACGATGTCTGTTAGTATTTGAGGGATAAACACTGATCCACTGCTCAGGACCCCATAGGCAGCCAGACCTCCTCATTGACTCTCACATTCAAGGGAATTGGCAATAGAGTGGGAGGATGGGGGGGATGGGGGGGTAAGGGAGGAGGGGAGGGAGAGGGAACTGGGATTGACATGTAAAACAAGCTATAATTTATAAAGTTAAAATAAAAATAATAAAAAAAAGAACACAGGTCCTCTCTGCAGGAGTAGAGCATACTTCTGACCATTGAGCCATCTCTCCAGCCCCCATTTTAGCCACTCTTATCAATCAATGTCTTCTTTGCAGCTAAAGTTAGGTGTGGGCTATGCTTTTGGGTTTTGTTTTGTTTTGTTTTTCATAGAAGGACATAGCCTGGAGGAGGTGTTCACAGAAATACAGACAGATTAGGTCCTGGTTATAATCTTATGGAGCTACTGACCTTGGGCGTCTGAGTTCACCCCTTCCCCCCCTTCGTTTCCCTCCGCAGAACTAAGGATTAATCCTACCTGTCTTTCTGGATTGCTGTGCAGATTAATCAGTAAATGATTGCTGGTAGTGAGTTTTGTGGGCCATTAATAATGGAATGGGGAATGTGGTGAGTGAACCATCAACAGATATTTAAAGGGTAAAAACAAGAAGAGGTCAGAGGAATTATTTAGTAGATTAGAAATAAACACTTGGAGGTTTTATAGGGGAAAGTACTCCATAAATGGAAATGTGCCGTAACTAAGGAAATAAGATGCTAAGGAAATCAGAAGCTAAAGCCCAGCTGCACATCAGTTCCTTTTCCCTCTCATCCGTCTGACTCCCACCCTGATCTAGTGAGGTTGGAGGGAGAGGTCTCAGTAAGGGCTGTAGAACAAGAGACCAACGGGAGCCCATGGGAAATGGATAGAGAAGCTGGGTTCCCATAGAGAAGGCTGAGAATAGCTCGCTGTTACCAGGGCAACTCAGGGTGCTCAGAGGGTGAGAGATGGTGTTTGATTACTCTGCCACTTGGCTCAGGCAGGAACCTCTCCCCTGGAAAGGGCACTTTCAGCTTTCAGCCCTTTCTGCCAGGTAAAGGTCAAGGTGATTAGGGCCTTTGCTACAATAGGACTCTCCCCAGTTTGGGTCATATAAGTCCAGTGACCTCACTGCTTTCTCTCAATCTCCATTTCTCTATCATTGGGTTAATATGGTTCAGTGACAGACCAGGCACTCTGCACCTGTTTGCTAATGTTATTCCCATTTTACAGCTAACTTCTCCAAGGTCATTTAGTAGATAAGAAAATTCAGAGGGTTAGTGAGGTGACTTAGCAGGTGAGGCTACCCTGCCACCAAGCATGATGACCTCGATTCTATTTCTAGGTCCCACACGGTAGAGGAAGAGAGCTGACTTCGGCAAGTTGTCACCTGACTTGCACACGGGCACCGTGGCATATGCATGCACACACATATATACACCATAAATAAATAAATGTACTAATAATAGATAACGCTCCAGAGGGGCTAAGTGGTCTACGCAAGCCTACTCCTTGGGTAAATATGGGGCTGTGTGACTACAAAGTGTGATTTAAAGTTTCTCATGGGCTTATGAGCTTGGGAAAAGTTGTAACTTCATCAGCAGCTTCACTTGGAAGTTGAGTAGCTGTTTGGCCAGATGCTAATATGCACATATTTGAAAGATGGGCTTCAATCCTGCTCAACTTGACACTTACTTTGACCCATCAGCTACAAGGTCTAGGAATCCCTAATGAGTTCCCTGTTGGTTCAGAGGTGGCAGGCCCTCATTAGTATGTCCATATGCCACAGGGCAGGTGTCACACAGAGAGTTATTAATATGGGGAGTAATTTATGATGAGCTAATCGAGTCCACAAGATGGAGCTGAAGCTGGTAACAGCCCAAGGATGGGAAAGTGAGATAGCTTGTTGAAGTTATAAGCAGTGGAGGATACCTAGTTTTATATTTACTGTCTTTGATAAATTGCTTAACCTACTGACTCTTGGGACCCTTCTTTGGTCAAATGGGCAATAATAAAAATATTACGTCACGATTGTCATGAGGTGTCTTAGGGTTTCTATTGCTGTGATGAAATGCCATGACCATGCCTTATCTGGGAGGAAAAGGTTTATTTAGCATACGTATCATTGTTCATCATGAGGGAAGTAAGGACAGGAACTCAAACAGGGCAGGACCTAGAGGCAGGAGCTGATGCAGAGGCCATGAAAGGAGACTGCTTACTGCTTGCTCAGCCTGCTTTCTTATAGAACTCTTAAGATCTCAAGCCCAAGCAAGGATGGAACCACCCATAATGGGCTGGACCCTCCACCATCAATCACTAGAAAAGCCCTACAGCAGGATCTTTTGGAGGCATTTTCTCAGTTGAGGTTGCCTCCTTTCAGATAACTGTGTGTGTGTGTGTGTGTGTGTGTGTGTGTGTGTGTGTGTGTGTGTGTGTGTAGTTAACTTAAGACTAGCCAGGACATGTGATTCAGCTTATCACATTCTGGTATGACAGTGTGATGGTTAGTGTTGTTATCTTGACAGAATCTAGAATCATCTGGGAGATACGCCCCTGGGTAAGCCTTTGGGGTTTATCTCCACAGCCTTAATGGATGAGGGGAGACCCACCCATTGGGCAGCACCATTCTCTGTCTGGGATCCTGGGATAGTTAGAGAAAGAGAACAGAGAAGCAGTGGGCATCCATTGCCTTTTGCTTCCTGAGTGTGGATTCAATGGGACCAACTGCTTCAGGCATCCGCTGCCCTCACTTCCCCTCTATGATAAATTGTACTCCTCATTATAAGACAGAATACACCCCTCTTCCTGAAGTTGCTTTTGTCAGAGTATTTTAGCACAGCAGCAGAAAAGAAACTAAGACAGCTCTCCACAGTTACTGCAGAGGAAGCTAAGGGAGTCTGCAGCATAAGCTTCGAGATGCAGAAACTCAGAGTGGCTGATGCATGCATGTAAGACAGTTTGGAATGAAACCCCCCTCTCCACAGAGACACAGTCCTTAGACACCTCCTTATTCAATAAAAGTAGAAGCTGGAGAA